CAGAACTTAAAAAGTACGCAACATTGAGTATTAAAATTTGGCAAGAATATTCAAAAAAATATGTAGAATGCTATAAATTTTTTCAACTACATCTGTGACTATCACTTTTTTATATTTTTTAATAGTATTTAATAAATAGCAGGACAAATGAAAATGTCTCATTTCAATCAATAAACATTTTTCTATAAGCTGCCAGAGTTTCACTAAAATCCATCCAGTGTAAAATAAGTTCTGTACAAAATCGTAAACCTCTGTTTTGACTACGTAAAATACACTGAAATGGCGGCCTTAAGTGGTGCGAACAAGAAGATGAGACCATCGACCATATCTGCTACGATTGCCCGATGTTCTCATTTATTAGAAGATTTGTTTCTGGCGATAATTGGCTAACACAAGCCTCTTCTAGGTGACGTTGTCAACTACTTTAAGAGCAAACCGTACATCTTGAAACACTTTAAAATCATTTTACGATTTTATTTTTAGTCTGATTTTTGTAAAATTTTCAGGAAGTAAGAATAATTACCAAACTTAGGGTGGAGAAACCTTGAATTTTTTTTTTTTCAAGTTCGAAAAATATTTATTTTGTTAATTTTTAAACGGAAAATCAAAAAAAGAAGTTTCCGCAACTTTCTGTATTAAATCTGAGATAATTTGCTGCTTTTTGTTTTAATAAATATCAAGTAATTTTTAAATAAAATACTTTATTACCTTTTTTTTAAATGTCTCTGCAGAGTGCTGCCATATCTTTTGCAGAAATTTAAAGCTCTCAAATCTACCGAGAAACAATTAATCGCGAAGTATTTCCAGTGACGCACTTATAAATACAATTTTAAATTAGAAAATGTTTATAACATTTTTTAGTGTGTTTAGTGTTTAGTGGTGTGAAAGTGTTTATCTAAATATTTTCAATATAATTAAAATTTCTTACAAGGTGGCCAAAAATCTTGTGACTACCTACAAAACCACGCAAATAAAAATTATTATTATTAGGACATAAATCGTTTTCTCCAATTTGGAACTATAGTGATAAAAGGTTCAAAAACGTGTTTTTGACGGTCTGTAGTATCCAAAGCATTAATTTCAGATCATAAGTAGGTATCTAGTGCAAAATATAAAAACATTTATCTTTTTAAATATAATTTATATATGTAATAAAATATAAGATATTCTATAGGAAAAAACAAACCTGTCATATTTTTTTTGGGGTAAAAAGCATTTTTTAAACGTAAAATTATAACATTATGGAGATACGCACACGAAATTTAAAAATACCCATTTACTTTTTGTCATTAGTATAAACCACTTATAAATATGAGGGTTTTAAAAAGATTATTGTGCAGATCGCAAATATTTAATAAATATAATAGCATATATTACAATATGGTTTGATATCATTCTTGATATGTACGCAAAATTTTATCCCGTGGGTTATTGCGAATTTTCAATCCTCTGGGAAACCTCGGATCTACTAACTCCAGAAGTAAGCAATTAAAAAAAATATTTCCATTTTTTGAATCATCTGGTTAGCCCAACAAATTATATCTCGTGAAATCTAAAACATTATTTTAATAAATTTGACTTTAGATATTTAAATCGTTCATAACCTAATACTTAGTATATTATATACCTAAATTGAGAAATAAATTATTATAAAATGAGCCTCACGATATAATGTGCGAAGTTTTAATTTCACTTCTCAACTGTTTTTTTTTTATCACTAACATTAAACATTATAAATATGTTATTAGGTTTAATCGTTATGTTAGCAAGTCCAAATATGTCACCCTAAATCATTATACTAACCTAGGTATTTTAATCATTATTACTGCCCTAGATTCGAGGAATGGAATAAATAACGGTGATTTTTTACTTTTCTATCTGTATACAGATAAGGAAAGTATAGGAATCATGATTTTTTCGACCTCGGGTTTTCGACGGATTTTTACGTTTTGAGGTCCCCTGAATCCGTTTTGACTATTTTCGCGATGATATCTGTGTGTGTCTGTGTGTCTGTATCCACCATAACTCATGAACCGATGTAAAGAAAAACACCAAATTTTAAACTTAAGCTTTATTCCGGCGTCCAATAAACTGATTAGATTTTGAGTAAAGTCGGAACATCTGGGGAGTACTTTATGGGTGGTCATTTTTATATTTTATGGAATATATCTGTTATTTACATTTGGAGAAAAAAATTCTTTAATTAAAAGTTACTTACAATATTATTAATAATATTTTTTGTTTCATACAAAATTTTCCTAAAATGGTCCGTATTCGAGAAATTAGACAAAATGTAAAAAAAAAAATATTTTTTATAAAAATTGTTCAAAAAAAAATTCTTCGTAATATAATTTCTCTATAATATTTATTGTATACATAATTTCTCTAAAATAGACCGTATTCGAGATATTTGAGAAAATGTATAAATTTCGAATTTTGAAGAAAACTCAAAAACGGATAAAGGGATAAAGAAAAAAATATTAAATTTTAAACTTAAGTTTTACTTAGGCCTGTCGTGAAATGATTAGATTTTGGACAAAGTCGGAACATCTGGGGGGGGGTACTTTATGGGAGGCCGTTTTTATATTTTACGGAATATATCTGTTTATTTATATTTGGAGAAAAAAATTGTTTAAATAGGTCTAATATTATAACCTATAATTTTTGTTTTATGTCAAATTTTCCTGAAATGGTCCGTATTCGAGAAATTTGACAAAATGTGCAAAACTCTGATGTTTAGGAACTAAAAGTTTTTTGCGATATCGATCTCTATAATTTTTGTTCATACATGATTTTTCTAAAATGGACCGTAATGGAAAAATGTTTCGAGGTAGATGTATTTGGAAAATACAAATATATTTAGTTTATCTTCTAAACATGCAATAGTTGTACAAAATAACCTGAAAAAGCGTATAATAACTAGATAGGAAAGTCATGTGTTGGACACATCAGATTTTTTGAGTTGGAGTAACAAAAATTACCTTTTCTGTCAGAAGACCTTTTCTCCATATTACGAAATAACAAATTCTTTATTCACCACTTCAAGTTAACCTTGAACTTGTTGGTAATATATGTTTTTTTTTTAAATTTTAACTATTTAATTTTATTTGTTTTTATGGCATCTGCAGAATGTATGTTTTTAATGGATTCCGAAAACTTTACTTCAATGACACTGTCATTTACTACTAAGCCATCTGGACTTGCTTCCAAAAAAATATTACTATGAATAAATAGGCCGTAACTTTGCAATTGCATCTTGTAGTGGCAAAAAAATCTGTAATGTCATACGTTTCATGAATGTTGTCGTATTCTGTATATAACCTTTGTTGTAAACCTAAAATATAAGAACGATTTTATTGTATTATTGGAAGATGTCATTTTAAGTTTACATAATTTTTCAAAATTTGATGCTGTTATGAGCAATTTTTTTTCCTTCATCCAAATAGATGTTTATTTTTGTAGTCGTGTCTTTTTCTTTAATTCTATAATTAGTTCATCTTTTAATTTTAGTTTTACTCTTCTTCGTCGTATTCTTTTTGTTTCAGATCAGGTTGTTCTAGAAGACCATAATTTGAATCAATCTGAGCCATTATCTCCTTTTTTTTTTAAATTCATGACGGATTTGTTTTTTATATGCAGACACTTTAGCACATACTATTCTTTTTTTCCTTATTTTTTCAGTGTACTTTTTGTATAATGGTCCAGTTTATTTCTATATGGAATATTAAAGTAATCTGTACCTACATTATATCAAAATGCTGCAGCTTCACAACGCAGCTGGTAAGACGCTCGACGAGAATAATTCATTATTTTGCCTCTAACAAATTTGTATATGATAGAGGTAAAAATGCTCTGCTAAATTGTTATCCGTATTGAAAAGCAACCTGTTACTATTAAAAACAAACTGATCACCTCGAAAATTTATAAGTCATTATGAGCCTTTATTTTCAGTCCGATTTTTGTGAAATTTTTAGGAAATATCAATAATAACAAAACTTAGGGTAGAGAAACCTTAACTTTTTTGTAAACCTTCGAAAAATATTTATTTTGAAAATGTCTAATAGAAATTAAAAAAAAAAGCGCCATTCTGTATTACAAGCAGCAAATTCTTATAGATTTATAAGAATTTGCTGCTTTTTGTTTTAATAAATATCTGGTAGTTTTAAAATGGATGATTTCCCATCTTTTTTTATTAAACGTCTGTGTAGAGTGCTGCCTTATCATTGAATAAATTTAAAGCTCTCCATATTGTCAAGATACATAAGATCACGAAGTATTTGCAGTGGCATCGCATATAAATACAATTTTATATTAGATAATCCTTAAAACATTTTTGCTTTCGCGTAAGGTCCGGTTTGCTTTTAAGTAACAAACGTCTCTATACAGATCTTGATATCTCTGTAAAGACCCCAGGCTCTCATAGCAAGATTTATATTTTCTTTGGTTTCTGTTTTGCTTTTAAAATAAAAAATTTCTCTGCATTTATGGTGCTCGCCAAAAATGTGGATAGGAATGTTAAGAATATCCTTTTGTAGTTCATCTATTTTTAAATGTTCACATATATCTTAATTTTAATGCTTATGAAATTGCAATTCGAATTCGCCAAATATTAATTTCCAACTATTTTCTAAGATACGGTGAGCAAATGATTTCTATCAAGTCCATATGTCTGTTTTTGTAGAAGTTTAGCATGAACTGAACTCTCACCATCCCCAACTAAAACAGTATATTTTATTCTATGTGTTTCCATGCTTGACATGAAAACGCTAACTATTATGTCTGCTTCCATGCTTGTTAAAGAACCTGTCCAGTTCTTGTTACATGCCAGATTTTTTGCATTAGTTCTTTTTTTTTATAATTATCGCAAACCCTACAATATTTATTTCTTGTCCCCAAAAACAATTTTTGCCAGAAATTCTATTATACAAACCTGTAAAATATTATGTAAATTCATTCTGTTGTATACTCACATTTGATTTTCAATAAGAAATTATACTTACGACTCCTGAAGCCACATCATAGTTAACATTATACGACCGTTTGGACCATTCTCCATTAGCAACAACTCTTATGCATGGAATGCAATTTTCCTCCACTTGTCCCAATTCTTTTGCGATGTATGCTTCACTATTAGTAGCTTCTTGCATTGTGTCTGCAAGTGATGCATAAATACAGGGACCTCATTATTCGTGGTATTTTTTGTAAGTCTTAATAGACATCATTGGTATGTCAATAGAAGCACCTATTTGCTCAAGTTGATCATGACCAAATCCAGTCGAAATAACACCTAGAACTATTGAAGAATTTATACCCATGTGACTAGTCTTCGGGGCAGTGTTTCTTTCATCTACTAACTAAAGTTGTTATAGTTGGCATTATATTGGCCCAATATCTAATGTCTGTCTAAAATGAGGCATAATTTTATTGATTATTCATTATTTTAAATTTTTCAACAGACTTCATTTTTGTATAATGAGTACTGCCATTAAAAAGAAGGTTCGTTCTCTAAAGCGTGTAAGCAGATTTAATGCTACTTAAATTAAAATATTTAGTAAGAATCAACATATCTAATAAATGGAAAACTTATTGAAAATGAACTTATGGTCCAATGGACCTAGCTTCGACTTGACGAAAAATTGAAAGTAGGGACCGTTTCTTTGAACATTACTTGGTCGCAGAATAATATTTTTGTTTTACATTTTATTATAGATACTCATATTATTATTATTTTTTGATTGTTGTTTATACCATAATTTAATATAAAAATATTTTAACTATATGAAAATTATTTTTGGTATTACTTACCGTACATTACCATTACCTATTAATTTTTCTTAACAAACCTGTATATACAAACATTTTTATAAAATATTTGTTATAAATTATTTACATTTTTCGTATTTCATAAACTGTTAAATGTTAATCTATACGCACGCCCATGTATTCACACGACAGTATGCAGCAAGAACAGTTGCAATATAAGACACATACGTAGGTTTTATTCTCTTACTTATCCTAATTGTACCTGCAATAGCGTACGTCCATTACTATTTATATACGTTAGCTTTTAGACTGTCAGCGCGGAACAAGAAGCAAAGAGTATGGCAAATAAAGGCGAAATTTGAGTTTCGCGATAGGTCCGGTTTCCTCTTTGTAGCTAGGAGCTAGGAGCTAGGAGATGCCTATCTATTCAATTCACTTTTCACACGTTACCAGTGGCGTAGCCACAGAGGGTTTTAGGGGTCAGAACCCCACATTGAAGGCATTCTCATCACCATTCCCTTATCTTATTGGCGCGGATCGCTATTAACTGTTAACCCCTATAGTTTTTATAACCCTCCCCATAAAAAATGTTTGGCTACGCCACTGCACGTTACAGATACAGATAGGGTGTGTCTACAAATTTAGTACTATGGTACCTACAAAATATTAAAAATTAAGAATTTTTTTAACATTTAAAAATGTCTTCGATTCAAGCAATTTTGTGCTTTTTGTATTTCCTTTTCGATAATATTTTGTATGAAACTAGTCAGTAAGCTCTTTTAATAAAGATCAAAAATTGTCTTGAAAGGATACGTGCGGTATTTGGATGACAGAATTGAATTTTCTTTTGTTGCAGTTTAAGATTAAGCTTTTGGGTGAACATCGGCGACGGTCTCTGGAGTTGCTTTTTAATCTTTTCTTCAGATTAAAAAGGGCTTTTTGTTCTCTTTGCTTGTAAGTGCGGTTGCAACCAGAAATAATAATTTTTTAAAAGTTCATCTGGTCTCCTCAGATACAATGAAATATTTGTGTGAAAGGTCTGTGATATAGGATGCATTATAGACCGAATATTTCGATGTTTTTTTATTTAGTTACCTGTTTGGATGATTTTTAAAAGAAGTAGTTGCATTTGCTACAAAAATTCTACTTTTTATATATACAAGGATGCCCAAAATTATATGCTGTAAATGGCAGTTTTGATTATATAAATTTGTTTAGATATTGTGTTACAGGCTTAAATCGATTAGTTATAAATTAATATATTTACCATTGAATAGTTATGTTAAATATAATTAAATAGTTATTATTTAATTATTTAATAGTTAATTACTTACTTCAGGAAAAATCAAAAACGATTCATTTGTATTTTACCTGTTTATTGTTTAAAATAATCTAGTTCACTGTTTACAATTATTTAGAACTACTTTAGTGACCTTTGAACTCTGCTTTTCTTCTTTTATTCTAAAGACATTTTATAACTAGGTATGCCTAGACCTGCCTAAAAGGCCTACTATGGTCAAATTGGCATCACCAATATACTCCTCGGTCAGGAAATGTGTCTTTCTCACTAACCTTCTTTTTATTCTTTGTTCTTCGTTAAAATTTGGTCATGAGGTTTCTGTATTTTCGAACTTTATTCGGATTGTTCAACCTAAAAACAAATTTAGTTTAAGCTATTATCTACCAGGATAAGTATATATAATATTGTAACGTACAAAGTTACGTTGACTACCAAGGGTAGTGCCGCTAGCTACTGCGGAGGAAGGGGTGGTCCGCTAAAGTTTTATTCTTATAAGGGCGCCAGGTATGTTTGCCAGCACATCCAGAATATATCCAGTATTTTACCAACTATGAGTATCCTAAGGCTCAAGATGTTACGTAAATACCATTAAAAAAAAAAGAAAAAAAAATTACACATATCCACCAAGTTTATTTAAATAGCCCGTAAATCTGACAAAACAAATAAGATCAAAATTCAAAAGTGTGATAGAGAAATAATAAAAAAAAAATAAATTTAGAAAATAATAAATTTTGCCTATAAGCAATGAATATGAAATTATGTAGCTATCAGCTAAGCTATAGTTATATAAAACATAAGCATTAAGATTAAAGCCAAATAATAAATATTTCGTCAAGCATGTAATTAACCTAAGTACTATGATGAGGCGTAGCAAAAAAGAAAACATAGGCAACAGAGTAAAAATTAACTACAGGTTTTCTAGGCGTTGATCAGATACCTAAATCTTAAAAAAAATATTCCTTAAATCAAGAAGCACCGCTAGAGCTCTGGCGCACGCATATAAGGTTGGCGTAATTGAGCAAATATATTTATAAAACAAATAAAACACCATAGTATTCTGCTTATAATAGGCAGATCCAATGGTTATTTACGTAAAAGTAAGGATTACAAACAAAAAAAATAAAAAAATATATAAGCAACGAGTGATTAAAATTACTGCAATTTGTAGTTATAACTAAAGCAATAACTAAAAAGCATGCAAATTAAATAACGATAACTAAAGTTTAACTTGCGCAATTCCAGCGATAGAAGTTCTACTCCAGAAACAGCGATGCAACTCAACACCAGTTATTTGGCACTCCAAATAAACTCCATGCACAAAAAGAAGGAGAAATAATGTCCCAACTCTCCTTTACACTCAAATACGGGCGGTAAAAAAAAGGAATGGAAATATCTACTTAAATTGAAAGCGGCAAACCAAACCAGAAAAGAAAAACTCTAAAATATTTCAAAATACAATTAACAATTTGTTTCAATATCAAAAGCGAAATTGTATTATTAAACATATTAATGAAAATAAAATACTATATTCTTTTAAAAAAATATTAATGAAAATAAAATACTATCTTCTTTTTGTAATTATTAAAATATAAAATATTATAAATAAGCGAATAAAGTATATTGCATAAAGTTAATTTAATGTTCAACTAGACAATTTGGCAACAATAATTAAAAGGCTGATATAGAAATGTGGGAGCATTCCGATTTAAATAATTAAAAATAACGGTTGAAAGAACTGAATTATCGGCATATTATTAAATAAATTATTTACTTACCCTGGCCAATGGGGTTTTGTCGTTTACACAATCAATTGTTTTAATTGTTATATAGCGATTAAAGGCCTCGGAATGGAGAAATCCTACAATATACGAAAAAAAGACAATCAGTACCGGTAACGATAACAAAAAAAAAGAATCAATGGAATATTTTACAATTCAAAGAAACTGCTTGACTGAACCTCGCAAAAAAAAACTTTAACGAATAAAATCCAAATACATACTAAATTTCAATGGTACAAAAGTTGAATTGTACACAAGCTCAAATAAAATCCTCACTTGGAGAGCGTGTTTTAGCAATAAATATTCAAAGTATCACTTAAAAACAAACTAACCAGCTGTTAGAACACTACGATAGTCTTATGAAAAATCCCCCAAAGGGCTGAACAAATATTTTTCAAAAATGTCACTTGACCACTACTATAGGTGTGTACTTAACAAGATTGTTTCCCAAAATGTCCCCCGGGCATATGGTTGGCCCGTTGGCTCCTACCACTATGTCAGTTGACTAAGAAGAAACCACAACACTTCCTGACATAAATTTAAAAATTTTGGAAATCTTTACCATCAAAAGATTTATTCTTTAGTTATAATTTAAAGGTTGATGAATAACATTTACCCTATCATAGTAATAACTTACCATTAACACTACAAATACAATATTTTTACCACAAATACCCTCACTTAATTAATAAATAATATTTTATTCTTAATGCGGACCAAGAATTTGTCCAAATAAATTTGGCAACATTGTGCAGGAAACAGCCGAACCTACGAGCCATGCGAAATTTAAAATTTTACATTAGAGGTGGCAGAACTCAATTTAAACTGTTACAATATTAAACAAGTGGATTTACCCGGTTGGGGATAAATAATACTTATCTTAAAAGGGGCCGCTTCTGATCTCCGGTAAACATTCTTCACTTTCTTTGGTGTGATAAAATCTTTCTATTTCATACATATTGCTTTTAGGCCATTAAGTGTCGATTTTAAGTCTCGACAATTCCTAAGTTTAGTCATCTAACATCTGGTATTACCAGATATTACTTAGTGCTGCTCATAGAGCAGATTACTACTTTCACTATATATCACCTCATTAAGTATCATCTAAAGTATCGCGCTGTATATTGGATTGGTGGCTGGAACCCACTTCATTCTTTACCAGCACTTGGACTGCAAGTATAAACTAACTGTTGTAGCTGTAGACACCGCCAGGAACCGATATCTCCCTACTTGCCAAGTAAGCGCTTTCTAATTTATATTTATATTGATAGTTGTATCTAAATAATAGCTGCCATATAACATGCAA